CAAACACCTTCCTTGTGGTTTTCTATTTCCTGCACTCTCGGATCCCCCTCTTCACAAACACCTTCCTTGTGGTTTTTCTATTTCCTGCACTCTCGGAATCCCCTCATCACAAACACCTTCCTTGTGGTTTTCTATTTCCTGCACTCTCGGATCCCCCTTTTCACAAACACCTTCCTTGTGGTTTTTCTATTTCCTGCACTCTCGGATTCCCCTCATCACAAACACCTTCCTTGTGGTTTTCTATTTCCGTACTGTTTTTATCCTGGCTTTGTTTGTCTAAGCTGCCTTCACTGCTGTTTGTTGATTTTTCCGCTTGGGATGGCTTAAAAAGGCTTCCATAACTTTCCTAGACTTCTTTGTTTCTTCTTCATTTTTAGCTTTTCTTTTTCTATATTTGGTGCCACTAAGTTTTTTTTTTCCAAGCATGCTCGCTGAAAAAAAAAAAAAAAATTCGGAGCTGGTAACGTTCAATCTATTGTAGGGTTAGGATAATATTACTAAATAATAAATACCATACAAAAGCAAAGTAACGGGGGGCGATAGGTTAACTATACACCTATATCACGTGCCAGTATACAGTAAGAGTAAGCAAACGTTGTGCCTTGAATTTCACGCACATGCAAAAATAAAAGCTTTGGTTATATCAATAAAATACCTAACATCTACAGACCATTCAATTAAGATGTGGTCATGCAGATAACTGTACTGTACAGAAAGCAGGCAGGCATGCAGAGACGCATTCCATTTTCTAGGGAGCGCCATTTAAACTATTTCAATATCTATGTAGGCGCCTTTTAGCCTATTCCATTAACCAGAAGCGTGTTTTTGACTATCACAGTAAACAAGTAGCACTATTTAAACTATTCTATTAACTAGTATTAACTGTATTTTAAGACTAAAACAGTGTTCAATAAGAAGGGAGGAGGGGCAATTTTTTGGTACTGTTGGTATTTGTTTTATTTTTGGTTAATTTGGCGCCCCCAAGACCTGCACTCTAGGGCAATTGCCCTACCTTGCCTGTAGGTCACTATGCCACTGTTAGGGAACGGAGATAATCTAAAGTGTACGTACCATTGTTCCAGAGCATCTGAGGTGAGATGATCCAAGCTATGTGTTTATGAACTACATTTTTAGCGTGTTTTATGCTGGTTGTGTAGTTACTGCCCTTATAACATTGTAACCAAGTTTTTAGTTCCTGACTGATACAATGTTAAAATTATAAATAGTCAGAACAGAGGGAAAGAACAGTAAAAATTCAGCTAATGTGAACCTTTACTAAATAAATATCTGTTCATTTCACTCTAAAGATAAAACAGACCTCATCACAATTCTCGTTATTCTTAGATATTGAAAAATGTAACGCCACCTACAAAAATTGTTTATAAAACTTTTTACGCTGGTGCATTGTTGTAGTTTGAATCGTATAAACATTGTTTAACTGTAACGGATAATGAATCGCTCGTTCATTAAATATGTTCCCAACACAAAGCTCTTCAATGAGCTATTCAGTAAGACCATCACTTTATATTTTTCCCGCCATTATTTTAAATACGAGCTCTTTTATTTCAGTAATTTGAGGTAAGTCAACAATACTTCTGTTCCTCTCATTGATGGAAAAGCGTTAATTCTGATGACATAACAATAAAAATTTGGGTTCCGATTCCTGTGCAGATAGCCTATTTTTACAGGTGAACGCATAAAACAAAAACATTTCCGGCGAGTGTGTTTACACTGGTAATGCTATTGGTTACTGTTGCTAATGTCGAAACGACCGGGGCTGTAACGCAGAGGAGACAAAAAAAGAGTAATTAAATCATGTACTTTATATTTCATTATTAAAATACATTTTTCCTAATACTTATAAACGTGATTTGTTTTTCCAACCACTTATATTAAAATGAGTGCATTATTTTTTGTAAGTACATATTTTATGCTTTTTTCCACCATTGTTGTGGATGTGAGAATTGTTTAAAAGGTATAACATACTCGAACGTGCAAGTTCGGTGTAACAAAAACATTAAAGCATACAAAAACAGTAAAAAGAGT